TCCAACTCTAGGATTCTATGATTCTATTGGGCAAGGCATGGCATCAGGAGACAGATTTTCATTTTAAAGTGGGACACATAGGGAGCATAGAATATATTTCAAGGTGGCAATGGCTTTTCCCTGCCCCACCATGCAGTGGCAGTTTTATGCAGTCCTGGGTTGAGAGAATAACATGGCCTTGATCTGATAGATAATGGGTACTGCCCACCATACTTTATTACAAATTACATCCATTAGTTAAGATCACTCCACTGTCATGTGGCTGTTAGACCACTGGGTGCCCAAAAGAGCCACAAAGAGCCACATGTAACCAACGAGGCCTGTGTTTTCAACGTGTTCACTAGCAGGAAAAGCACACATGGAATTTTGCTACCATTTCAGCTACTACTGAAACAGCCATCCCAAGGGGTGTAAGCAATATCTTTTCCAGTGGACAAGAGCGTTGTGCAAAACTTGGATGAATGACTGGTAGAACAGCTTGTGCAAGGAGAATCAAAAGAGGAATGCATTTGACATTTGTACAAAATGAAAACAGGATTTTTGCACGTGGTAGACATTTTGGGCCAACACAAAGGAGAGGAATCTGTAGACTTCCACATATTTCTGCTTACAATTCCCATCAGCCCCACAACCCTGTGATAAAGGATTTTGGGAGATGTAGTCCAAAAAGTCTGGGGGACCACAGGTTTCCTATTCATGTGCAAATGGAATGGCATCAGTGAATACAAACCACACGTGGGGCCCTTTCACACCATGCAGTCATAGCATCCTATGCCATGACAGCATCCTATGGAATCCTAGGATTTGCATTTTAGGGAGGAGTGTTCATAATTTACAGTCAGAAAGTTCTAGTGCCTCACCAAATTACAAACCCCAGGATTCTCTAGGATATTTCTACAGCAATTAAAGTGGGAATCATACTTCTATGACTGTATAGTGTGAAAAGGTCTCCAGTAAAGGAGTGCAGTATGGGAACTACCTTCAAACAAAAGCTCAACAAACATTTAGGAGAGTCATGTGTTTTGAATTTCTACTGGGAGTGGGTAGGGAGGCTGAACTGGCATCTCTCATCCATACAATTTTCAAAGGCATATTTGGTGAAGAGACAGGGGAAGATCTTCTAAGTGGCTACTCCCACACTGCTACCACACTGTAAAATTAGCGCAGTTTGACACCTCTTTAACTGTCATAGCTCCATCCTATGGAACAATGGGATTTGTAGTTTGTTGTGGCACTAGCATTGAGCCATGACAATTCAAGCATTATCAACCTGTTGTATTTCTGCAGCATGGATCCAGCCTATCAAACTCTCTCCCATAGGAAGCTAGGTTGGCCCAGTCTTTGCTGTCCTACCACTAACAATCCACTAACAATCAACAAACAATCAGGCCTTCTTATTTATACTGTTTTTTTTAACATCTTCATGCAGAAGGGCATTTTAAATGAAGGAGTTTCATTTTTCTATTCTTTGTTATGTTTCAAGTGCTTTAAAGCTATTTTTGAACGACTGCTGTTTTTTAAATGAAAGCATATATTTTTGAGAGCCAGCATGGCATAATGGTTTCAGTGTTGGACTGTGACTCTGGAGCCTGGGTTCGATTTCCAGTTCAGCCATGACATCCACTGGGTCACCTTGGGTAAGTCATGCTCTCTCAGCCCCAGCGGAAGGCAATGGCAATCCTCCTCTAAACAAATCTTGCCAAAGAAACCCCATGATAGGGTCCCCTTTGGGTCACCATAAGTCAGAAACGATTTGAAGGTGCACACCAACAACCAAACAACATATATATATATATTAAAAATAGTATAATTGGTTTCAGCTGTTTAATTTATGTTTTAAGCTACCTCAGGTTCCACATTGTGAGAAAGGTGGGATATGGATAAAAACAAAAAATAATTTCCTTTTTTCTCTGCTCAATAGCTTGTGACTGCAGTTTTGAAGGCACAGAGGAAATTGGCTGTGATAAGCTAACAGGACGCTGCCTTTGCAAGCCAGGCTTTGCTGGACCTCGCTGTGACCAATGCAAGCGGGGTTACTGTGGGAATCACTATCAGTGTGAGGCATGCCACCCTTGCTTCCAGGCCTACGATGATGACCTCCATCAATTGGGTTTGCGTCAGGCCACCTTGAAAAATTCTACACAGCGACTGCCTTCAGGGACGATGAGCTCTGGATTCAGTACCCGCTTCTTGGAAGCAGAAAATGAAATTCAGCACATCCAAGGGATTCTGGAAAATCCTCCCATGACAGAGCAGGGACTGGATCAGGTGGCCAGGGCCTTTGCTGCAATCAGGTAAACAGGGTTTTTTTTTGTCTCTTTGTTGTTGTTTACCTTCAAGTCTTTTCTGACTTATGAGGAACGACTTAGGGATTTTTTGGGGGGGATAATATTTGTCCAGAGGGGGTTACCTTTGCTTTCCTCTGATTTATTCATATTGTATAAAATTACCTTCAAGATATGTTTATAAGGTGTATATGAAACAGAAATGAATTTTGTGTTCAGACTTGGTCTCATCTCAAAGATATCTCATTATGTACGTCTATACAAATACAGGTATTCTGAAATCCAATAATAATGACAACAACAACAACAACAATATCCATAATCAGAAACACTTCTTGTCCAAGCATTTTGGATAAGGGAGACTCAACCTGTACAGAGGCATATTGCATACAGAGTGACCGTATATACCGTATTTTCTGGCATATAAGACGACCCCAACTTTTCCAGTTAAAATATAGAGTTTGGGATACACTCGCCGTATAAGACTACCACCCTTCCAACGCACACCAAATAAAAATGTCAAAAATCAGATTAGATTTCATTATGGTAATTTTAATTCAAATGCTTATGACATGCAGGTACTTAGCAGGAAAACTGTCACTTATAAACACAACACACTACAGCTCTCTTGTTCCCTAGCATTTATTTTTGCAGTGTGTTTTGTACCTTATTATTTCTACAGTGTGTTTTGGACCTTACTTTTTTAAAAATAGTCCAGATTTAAATGCTGCTTTAAAAATTATTTCCATCTCCCAGCTATGAGATGGTTGGGGGAGGGGGAAGGACTACCAATATACTATGTGATGCATTCTGCGGTATGTACAATTTGGGGCCAAGTAAGTGATCCTAGGCATGTCACACACTCTCAGCCTCAGAGGATGGTAATGGCAACCCCCATTTGAAGAAACATGCCAAGAAAATCCCATGATAAGGTTGCCTTAGGGTTGCCATAAATCGGAAAGGCCTTGAAGACACACAAGAATAACAAAAAAGTCTGCAATTGTTTCATAGGTAGTACATAGGAATAGGAGCCAGCATGGTGTAGTGGTTTGAGTGTTGGACTACCACTCTGGAGACCTGGGTTTGATTCCCTACTCTGCCATGAAACCCACACACTCCCAGCCTCAGGGGAAGGCAATGGCAAACCTCCTCTGATCGAATCTTGCCAAGAAAACCCCATGATCACCATTCATGCATTGCAGAAATTTATTAAAGCAGTTTGACAGTGCTTTAACTGCCCTGGCTCAAGGCTATGGGATTCTGGGATTTGCAGTTTTGTGAGATATTTAGCCTTTTCTGTCAGAGAGCCCTGGTACCACAAAGCAAACTGCAGATCCTAGGAGTCCATAGGATGGAGGCATGGCAGTTAAAGCGGTGTCAAACTGCATTATTTTTGCAGTGCAGATTCAGGCTGCATCCATACTGTAGAACTGGCTTCCTTCTCCTTCTCTCCTCATCCTCATTGCCCTCCTCCTTTCTCCTGGCTTCCTCCTCTTCCTCCCTTCATTCTCATCCTTCTCTTCCTCCTCCTCTCTCCTGGCTCTCTTCTCTTTCTCCCTTCATTCTCCTCCTCCTCCTCCTCCCTCTTGGCTTCCTTCACTTTCTCCTCTCGTCCTCCTCCTTCTTTCTCCTGGCTCTCTTCTCTTTCTCCCTTCATTCTCATACTCCTCCTCCTCTACCTGGCATATAAGATGACTCCCGACTTTTGAGACCCTTTTCTGTGGTTAAAAAATCATCTTATATGCCCGAAAATACGGTAACCATCCTGAGCAATAGTCACTGACAGTATTGTCCTCACTTTCCTCTTTCCTCCATGAATTAGCCAATCCTGTTTTCTAATATTCTTGGGCTCTTACATATATATTGCTATGTTTCCACCTTAACTCCCATGGAAAAGTTTAAGTATGCTAGTGTGAAGGTTTGAGAAAGATGAATGAGAAAAGAATTGAAAAATGCATACAAAAAGCACATGTTTTATTGTATTGATTCCAGGCAGAACATTGAAGGTTTGAACTCTGAAATACCTCTTATGGATGAAGTGTCCTCCCTATCCTTGGATGTGGAAGCTCTAGATAAGAGTCTGTTTCTAATAACCACACAGTATCAAAACAAGAAAGCTCAGTTTGAAGCCAGCCTCAAGACAGACCCCTCAGGTATTACAGTTGTTCTTCAGAACCCATACAGTTTAACACATTCATAGCTGTATCTTAAATTGTCAGGATGGGGAACATGTGGCCCTCATGATTTTGTTGGACTGCAACTCCAGGAAGCATAGTCAATGGGAGGGATAATGGTAGCTGCACTTCAAGAACATCAGGAGGGCCACATGTTGCCTGTCCCTTTTCTACAGCAAATTATGACAGATGTCTGATCAAGAATGAGCTTTTCCAAGTTGCTGACTTGGGAGTTCTGCTGGAAAGACAATGAAGAGGTGTGAAATGACTGTTTCAGACTCAGAGGAGAATATCGTCTTTTTTTAAAAAAATATATCTCCTGCTTTTAATACAACTCTTTGCCTGGAATATCAATATGCAAATAGACCATGTAGTTGTAGTACTTTTGAAATTAACTAAGAGAAGATATAGTATAAGCTTTTTTAAAAATATATTTTTATATCAAATAAATTTACAATAATACATTTGAATTAGCATTATACATTAATAATGTCTTCATCCTATTGTTGTCTACATTAAATAACTCCTCCTAACTGTCTCTTGCATAATACACCTTATTCTCAAACTTTACTCTAGTCTGTTATTCAGAATTTTCCAAGATATATCTCATATATCTAGTCAGTATTCATGAGATTTCATTTATCCTTTCCCTTTTCCTTCTTTTGTGTTAATTCTTCTGATTTCCAATTGCACCTTTTTGTTACCTAATTCCATCTGTTATCATAATATTCATTTATTGGGAGCCACTCTTTTCTTGTAGTCTCTAAATCTTCCTGATTAAGCCAAGCTGTTAAAATGTCAATTTCCTTCATTTCTGCCAATTTCATTAACCATTCATCGATAGCTGGGAGTTCTTTCTGCTTCCAATAGTATATAACCTTTTGTAGATTTGTTCTACTTCCTTAGATGAAGTGGACCAAGCTGATTATCATGTGGAGAAATGCTGCTGATATAGATGTGGGTTTGAAAACTCAAAACTGGGTGTTATCGCACATACTGGTGGCTGAATGAGTGCAACCCAGATGCAGCCTGGACCCCAGCCATGCTTATGCTGTGGCTTTTCAAAAACCAGAGCTTGCTGTTTTTGAAATCCAGCCAGATAAGTGTGCTGGGGTCCGGGCTGCATCTGGGTTGTACTCATCTGGCCACTGGCACTGCAATAGCATCTGGTTTTGAGTTTTCATTCCCTCATCTATATCGGGAGTATTTCTCCATGGGATAATTTCCTATGTCTAGAAAATCTTATGCTATAACTTTTTTTGCACAGTCTCAAAGATGCTAGAAGATCCATTTGCCTTTGAGAGTATATCTCAGCAGCAATATATCTTCAAGCCCTTTGAAGGAGTTGTCATTGTTGTTAGTTTCAGATCCTACCAAATGGAATTTCGAGCAATCAGTCCTACAAATGATTCACTTTCCTTCACTTTCTCTCTCTCTCTTTCTTTTTTGAGAGTCCTATATTAATACCAGTAGAATAACAGTGAATTTCCTCTTTTGGTGTGGATGCACTTAAGTTTTTTTTTTTTTAAATAGCAACATGCATACATTTAAAAAAAAATGTGATTAAAGCTCTTTGTCTAAAATGTTCTCTGTCAAAGCAAATAATTTAAAAGTAATTGTATACATTGACACAAGTCCTATAGCACAAGCAAACTTCCAAGGCACTTCTATTTTTCTCTCTCTCATTCAAATGGCAAAGTCTGTTTTTTCCAGCAAAGCACCACACTGAGACTTTCCAAATATACTTGATGGTACTCAGTAGTACCCCATTTTGTGAAACAATGCTCTAACTTGTTAAGTATTTCTTTTTAGTAATTTAATTAGAGATTATGCCAAACATCCCATCACTAGGGAAATTTCTCTCATCAAACTGACTGCTGTTCTTCTCTTCAAAATAATAATAATAATAATAATAATAATAATAATAATAATAATAATAATAATACTTTATTTTTGTATCCCGCCTTTTGCCAAGGCAATCAAGGTGGCTTACATCATAGATAGATAAACCCTACATTGAACAATAAAACATGATAAAAACAAGTCCCCGCCCTTTAAAAAAATTAAATTAAATACAACTACTAAAATAAGTTAAAAATGACTAGTGTTCTAGCACCAGTAAAGATGTAAAAGAGGAAGAGACACAGATTGAGGT